CCAACTCCAGGTTGGAAAAGCTGTTGTATGCTAACAGTGTTAGGTTGCAAAAGTATTTATGACCTTACCTGATACAGAACTGTGAATATGTTACTTATTTATAATTTAAAAATACTGCTTCATATTCATCTATAGGGATTTGATAGCAGGGGTATAGTGTAATAAAGCCTAGAGCAGGCTGCTTATTTTCCTTGGGAACACAAATGTTTTATAGAGATTATATAGCAGCTGGTGAGAGAGTGGGTCTTTATTAATACTGGCAACAACTCGCCCTTATTTCAACAGGCTTCCTGAGAGAGTTTGTGTTAGGAGTTGCAATGGTTGAGGCTAGATAATGGTAGAGTTTGCCAAATAAGAGAATGTGACTATTTGCTGCTGAACCTGCCCATCAATCATCTTGGATTATCCTTTTTTTAGGTATCAAAGAGGTTTGCAAAGTGGGACAACAAAGGTAAAATTATTCAAGACAAGCTAAATCTCCTGCCTGAGATTCTGCTAAACATTTATTGATCTACTTAGGATGATGTTAAAGTTTCTCTTATTAAAATTTAGAGTTATACAATGCACCCTAAAACAGGTGGTCAGATTCATACAATTTGGATTATAAGGCTGGAGGTAGAAATATTTTACAAAAGTTAATTCTGTATGCTACTAAGGTATCAATTTTAATGTCATTTTACTAAAATAGAATAGCTGCTTGATTTTCAGAGGCAGCTGGTGGAACAATCAATTTTTTTAAAAATTTGGCTATATCAAAGTTCTGTTAGAGATAGAGGTATGAGATAGATTTCTTATTTGTTTTGAATATGCTTGTATTCTTTTTCAAAGCTTCTGAAAGAAAAAGTTGTTTATCCCATAGGAAATTAATCCTAGATTCATCCGCTGGATGGTATATCATTCCCATCCTCATTCTTATTCCTCCCTCTGCAAAATCCTGCAAAATCAGCTGAAATCATAATGTTCCCTCTGCAAATCTCCCCCCAAAATTTCAAAAAGAACTTATAGGCCAAAATCTGTTCCCAAAATGCAATCAGTGGGGGTGGGGGTGGAGGACAGGAAAGGTTTAAGTCAGAGAATGCCAGCAGTTTACCTCTTCTCCCATTCCTATTCTTAATTTTGGAAAGAAAACTACAGAACTGCCGACCCAAACTTTGGCAGCAAAGAAGATCCACAGTTAAGCTCAAGGGTCCTGTTAAATCTCTAAAACTATCAACAGCTCCACATTATTTTTAGCCATCTAGTAACCTGAAATCAATTCCCTTAGATCAGTGTTTCTCAACCTTAGCAACTTTAAGATGTGTGGATGTCAACTCCCAGAATTCCCTAGCCAGCTTGGCTCGCTGGGGAATTCTGGGAGTTGACGTCCACCTATCTTAAAGTTGCTAAGGTTGAGAAACACTGCTCTAGGTACCACCAGCTGAATTTAGGGTGTTTCTGGAAGAGGATTCTTCAGTGTTTTACCCTAATCAAAAAAGTTTCCTTTGTTTCCTTCTGAGCAAACTGATA